TTATATTTAGGACTGTGATCTGAATATTCAACATTTGATGTTCCTTTTTTTAAATGTATAACAACAACTCTTCCAAATGCCTCTTTTCTAGGTCAGAGTGTGACAAGTTTGTACTATGAAAATAATAGTTTTTACTGCACTGATCTGGTTAATTAACCATTTTTTTTGGCTTTGATGTCATACCCATTTTGAAAAGCTTCACATTTCATTAACAGAACAGCTCTCTTTGCTCACCTGAGTGCTTTTGCATCAGTCTGTACAAAAAATGATTTCCATAATTTGCTTTCTTGTGTTGCTCAATTAAATTTCTCTGACAAAATTAGCACGGCTGCTATAAAAAGAAAAGGCCCTGAGTTCAGATGATTGGCCATGTCTCTATAATGTCCTCTGGCAAACCTCAGAAGCCTTCACAGATCAACTGCATTTATAGTCATATAAGATTGCACACAGGTGTACTCTATTTATTGAAACGGTCACTTTTAAAGGAAATTGGTTTCACCATCTGTGTCCAGCTCAAATGGTTTTACTACTTCCTTAGCATATCAATGTTTTGCTGATAATGAACCATCATTTGACTCAGGTGTTTCCAACCTAAAAGAAATAAAAATAAACTAAAACATACAAGACACCGGCCCTAAGGACTGACTTTGGGTGCCCCTGAGTTACACTGTATTTCATTTAGGGGTATCAGAATAAAGGATATATTATAAAAGTGCACTTTACACTTTTTCCATTTTTCCTTATGAAAAAATTCAAGTATTCTTTTCTTCCCACGTAGCAGTTTTGCGCTACGTTGTGGTTGTCTGTAACCATGAGTTTCCAACTGCTTACATAACATTCTCATAGTTTGTGGCTTTAAGATTGCAGGATGTGAAAAGGTTAAAGTGGCATTGACAATTTTGCCTGACACAGTGTACATAGATAAAAAGCAAAACAATTGAACTCCTTTGCATTTCTCTTTCAAAGCAACTCACCTTAGCTGTCATGTCAGCTCTAGGTGTGGAACATCCTAGTCAGGCATGTTGGTCACAAACAGGAAAGACACAAAAACACCCAGACTCATCACCATCCGCTCTTGCTCACAATCTGACAGTCAGTGTGAGATCCTAACTACGAGAGAAAAGTCAACCAAGGATCAAATAGGCAACCCTCTTTGTTGACATATTGGATCTCTTTGTAACTGCAAGGGACTGTACAGGCTAGCCTTCACAGTTTAATCTTTTTCTACATTATTAATCTTGAAGTTAAGTTCAAGTTTATTTTAAAGAATTTTGACAATACGTGTCCATATAAAAAAGTTTTGGATATACTATTTTCCGTTTTGAGGAGCTCGGACACTTTTTTTTTTTTTTCCGTACAGTGAATATTGTAGCTTGAATCTCTCCCACACTTTGTACCATGAAGAATTAAGTTGTGGGGGGAGATGCAGCTTCTGTCATCACTTGAGAGAACATGCTGGAGGAGGATTCTTCCCACAAACTCCAAAGATATAAGATGATCCCTGACACACGATGAATTGTAACCCTATAAACATACTCGCTCAAACAGCCATTGGTCTGTGGGAAAAAAAACAGTGAGCAAAGAGATAATAGCGTTTTCAGGCAAGGTTAAGACACAAAACAATGCAAAGATGTTTAGCCGGCTTTGAATGTTTTGTTACTTGACAACAGGATTCTTCACAGATCCTGTACAATAAAAGAAGATCACGCAAGGCTTGCTTTGAAAGGAAAACCCTTTATGCATTTCAGTGTTTATAGGAAAACGCCATCACTAATGAAGCAGAATAGACAAAGGACCTCCGACACAAAAGGTATTGATTCATTCATGAGGGCTTCCAAAGTGACGATGATGGAGAAAAAAAAAAAAGCCAAAAAGAAAAACTCAGAAAGTGGCTGGATGAACGTTAGAGTTGAAATGTCTTTGTTGCCTGAGGAGCCTTCTACGGTTGGAAATTTACCCCCATCATGATCAAAGCCAAAGATACAAACATGTACACAAAAAAGTCAAACAGCCCTAAGCCTTCTGGGAGTGAGGCTCCAGCAGAGCTGCAGCATTGTTGCAGTTGGCTGCAGGTGTCGAGAACTTTCTCTGCTCAGTGCCGACTGTTGTGACAATTTCCTCTTAAGGTCAGAAAATCATCTTACAAACACTTCCCTTATCACACAGACTGAAAAAAAAAGAAAATAGAGCTCCAGCTTAAAAAAAAAAAAGTTCATTTGTCACATGCAATCCAATTATGTTTGTCAAACTTAATTTATTTACATTTGCTTTTAACAAATGAACTCAGTTTTTTCAAGTTGGATCAACTTTTTTTCTTCACTTCAATGCACTAAATGTTTTGAATGCCCACGGCCAGAGAGAGAAAGACCTTAAGATGTCTGTCAACTGGGGAAAAAGCAGTGTGGTAAAGATTCCTTGCATTTGCGAGTGTGTGTGTGTTCCCTTTTGTGTGTGTCAAGGCAACGCAGGGGCAGTCAGGGACACTGAGGAAGAAACGGGCCTGCTGTCCTTTGAACTTGATCTTGAAAAGAAAGCGGTCTTCGCTTCCTGCCAAATACGCTTAGCAACTCATGCCTTCCAGCTCCAGACAGCTCTAACTGGTTTAAACAAAAAAAAAAGAGCCTTAAACCACTTATTAAGTCAACAAAAGCATCCAGCTTGATTGTACACACTCTTCTGAAATAACCTGATGGTGACAGATCCATTTATCAATGAAGCTGTTATTTCTATTGATGTTCATATATGTTTCAACTCCTGGTTACAAAAAAAAAAATGTGGCAGAGATCTGACTTTGCAAAACGATATTTCTTTCAGAAAGCTTCAGAAAAAAAAAATATACAGTTTGCATTGTTGTCAAGTGAAACAATGTATCTGGATTTGAATATGCACTAGTCTCCAGACTTGAAAAGACACTTTGCTGGTTCAAGGTTAGGACGCTTTGGTACTCTGATAGTTACCCTGAAGTTATAAGTCGTTTAAACTGTTTATGGGTTAATAATGTGATACAGAAATAAGGTAAGAGCTTTCTGTGAGATTTTATCCAACCAACCAGTAAGAGACTGAATTAAATACTACTACTACTACTACTAATAATAATAATAATAATAATAATAATAATAATAATAATAACAACAACAACAAAATTACTGCTGTTTCACACTGCAACGATGGGTATCCTGCAGTGAATGTGTAGGAGTCAGAGGGAAGTTTGAGAGGCCGTAAGTGGGGACTGAGTAGCTCCATTATCAGCACGCTGATAAAAGATGTCTGTGTTTGTGCATGTAGGTGTGTGTGTGTGTGTTCAGAATGGCTCAGTGCTTTCCCTGCCTCTGCTTATCACCGCTAATTAAAACATTTGGATTCCCCTGGACTGCTCTGGAGGAGTGTGTGTCTGTCCCAGCATGTGTGTGGGAGATGTGATGTGAGAGTGGTGAGGAGTCAAGGAAGGAAGTGTTGCAACTTGAAAAACTGCCTGTCTCCCTCAATGGACAGAGGATCATGGGGAAAACTCAACCTCTTTAACAGATTAATATGCTGTTTCTACTCCTAGTTGTGCACACACACGCACATGCACACACATGCACCATTTTCATCTATCTGACTAGCTGTGAGTTCATACGGATGTTTATAGAATGGGTTATTTCATGAATGCAGGTCTCAGCTAACATGCTGAGACGTGGGTTTGGTACAGAGAAAGTAGGTCGTGGAAGCTTACGGCACAATGACATAACTGGATGAGGTTGCTGCTCAAGGTGCAAAGACAGAGCAATGCAAGTCAAATGTTTGTTAATGTTATAGTGCATAGTAGAGGCATGGGGTAGATGATGAATATATTTAATGAGAATGATGAACAAAAAAACGTAGAAAAACTACAGGGAGCCAGGAGGGAACACAAACCATAAATCCGAGGGAAACAGGAGTAATGACGTTAAACAGGAGGAACCAGCAAGGAGTAACTGAGAAAGAGTTGTATATACTGGGGAGGTTGATTACTGAACAAGGAACAGATGGATGATTAGAGTTGTAGGTGTGAAGGAAGAGAGAGTGAGAAAGTGACACAGGGAGGTGAGGGAAGGAACAGAGAGGACTAGGAAATAAATCTAAAACACAAAATCATGACTAGACCTAAGAAACCCAATTAAACTAGAGTAACAAAGACTAACTAGACAAGAAATACACTAGAATCACTAAGACAGAACTCAACCAAACTAAAACAGAAACACAGCTGATCTAATCCAAGAAAAGGAACAAAGGAGCACAGAAAATAACAAACCCCAAAACCACCCCAAACAAGCCAATATCCTGACAGTGACATGAACCTGGACAGGCTGTTCAGGGCTAAAACTAAACGCCCCAATGGGGCAAAATTTACAACAATTCTACGAAGAAGAATGGGTCAAAATTTCTCAAAAGAAATTTAAAGACTCCGTAGTAGTTTTCTTATTTTACATATTATACCTTACTGAACAATAATCGTTGTGGTTTTAACCTTTTTCATGTGATATCCCTGCATGCAACTGTTTGACGTCACAGTTTAGCAGATTTCTAACAGAGAACAGAAAAATTTATGTGGTATTAGAATTGCAGTGTTTTGCAAAAGAATATTCACACATCTTGAATCATTTCCACATTTCCTTAAATTACAAACAAATCATATACTTTTTTTTTTTTTTACAATTTGCTAACATGAAATAGAGCACAGCTGTAAAATGGAGAGAAAGGGATGCAGGATTTCCAAAATTTGTGGCAGGAAAGTAGTGTGAAACAAATCATCCCCAACATGAAACATGGCAGTTCAAGCATATGTGGAAGCAAAGTTGAAAACTGATTTTCATTGTCACTGTTTGTCCAATCTGACTGACCTTGGGCTATTTGTCAACAAAGAATGTCTCTAAAAACATGCAAAGCTAGTAGAGACGTATTTCAAAAGCTGCGACTGCAGCAAAAATGTGATTTGATGTATTAACTCAGGAGGGATAACACAAATGCATGCTATTTTTCTCATGTTTATTTGTAAACCTTTCCAAAAAATATTTCATACCATTTCACAATTATGTAATATCATATGGTTGTTGCTCTTATAAAAACAATAAACATTCAAATTTATGTTTACAATGTAATAAATGTAAAGAAAAAGAAAAAAGAAAAAAAAAGAAAATGGGTGTGAACATTTTCAGAAAATAATAATAATAAAAAAAGATAGTTGATGTACACCTTCATCTAAAAATTAAAGTTCAGTAAAGGAACATTTGTCAACAACCAGGACCCCATTTCCTCCCTCCTCCATGAACTCGTTCAATGCATTTTACATTTTGAGGCCTCAGGCTCATCCACATTACTTCTGCTGTTTTTCTCTTATTTGTTGAGGGCTGGATCATCTCTTTGGCTTTCTGATTCTGTCAATGTCCACGCGTTCTCCCCCTGCTCTCACAAACAGAGAGACAAGACCACTGCAGTTATTTACCCGCTTAGTTCTGAAGCATCTTAACTACACCTCTGCTTGAAAATGTAAACAGCACAATTGTTAAACAGACATCACAGTCACCAGCTAGTTCTCAGCGTCATATTTTATTTCACTGGTACGAAAGTATTCTAATTACCGTAATAATACTTTTTTTTTTTTCACGGCAGCTCTGTTGCAAGACGGCATTTTCACCGACATGTCAAACAGAACAATATGCGCTGATTACATGAAATCCTATCAAATTGTGCAGAAAGGAGGGATGTTTGATTCCTTTGGAAAGCAGGAGAGCTTATAAGTGCTGATGTGGCTGCTGTGTGATGGATGTGTCTCCCCCAGGGGGAGTCGATGTCTTTTAGCTTTACTGTAAATGTTTACATTCCTGCATTCGCTGATGCTATCTGCTAATAGTTTCTAGGACTAGCCTGGAGAGTTGTCTGGGTGGGATTATTCGTAACGTGTGCGTGTGTGTGCATGTAAGTGAGGGTCAAAAGGATGCAGCTCCGTCTTTAAATAGAGGCATCAGCCGCGACACCTGCCTGTCCTGAGACTTGACCTGCGTCCGCAGAGGGGTCGGCACGGAAACAACAGGAACGCACGCCGCTGCACCACATACACCCATAAAATATCCAGGTTAAAGGTTCTGATTAATAATTAGTCACAGTTTTGGTCTTTTTGTGACAGACTTGACGCTCCCACTGTGTCGCGCGAGCTCTAAATCCATTCATGTAGGTCAGTGGCCTTGGACGGGCCATTGTGTGGGGAAGCTGCACTTAAATCAACCGGCGTCTCGAAGACATTATTCCTGCAACAATAAGAACATCAGAAATTAGTCACTGCTGCTGCCCAGGTGACATGCGAGGATACTCAGTCAATAGATGTGTATCTTGAAAGAACAGCCAAGCGAAGCGTGGATTAGGTGGGGACCTCCATTCCTGCGTTGCAGAGCAGAGAGGCTGCCCCACCCCGCAGACCTTTATCTCAACTCAGAAATCCTCAGAAACACAAAGACAGCAGGATATTACTTGTCTCTGCTGGCTTCAATATTCATTGTTCAAATCTACCTTTTAATACTTGCTGTCTTATGTAAGTTGCTCAACATGGTGTTGAGAATTCAATGGAGCAGACAAACTTCTTCATCTTCTGGTTGCCCTCTGGTATGCCAAATATATATATAATTAACAGTAATTAACAGCTCAGAAAAGACACATGAGCAAGACCCGTTTATGAACAAAGTAAGTTGTTTTTTTTTTTTTTTAGGATTCCTTGTGAAGCACATTCCTGTGGAAAGGCAGTTGGTGTTTACATGGGGGTGACCTCTGATGGAAGTGGTGAAATTTAACCAGCCTAACTGGAATTGAAGTTATACAACTTCTCTGTTTTATAAGCAGCAGATTAGATTAAGTGAAGCTCAATAGACATAATTATGGGGATTACCCCGGTGATTCATCAGAGATGCCTGAACTGAGATTAGACTTACAGCTCAGCAATTCAACTCTGTGACATACGAACAAACACCAAAAAGGATTCATTAACAGTTATTAAATTAACACTTGCTCTTTTTTTTTTTTTTTTTTTTCCATTTTTCTAGCTTGGTGACAAAGAATCAGTTTCCCTCTGTCCATATTTGTCTGTCTTCCCTCATTATGACTTACTTTCCAGCACAGAAAGGAAGTAATTATTAAAGGTTGTACAAATGTTCTTCAGGCTTTCAGCATGCAAATATATTCACAGTGTCTGTGCTATCTGATACTAACCAAGTGAGAGCTGTGTTTGTAAGCTGCAAGTGCATTTGAATAATGGCATCGGTACAGAGGACCAACATACTGTATGTCATGCATGGAGAAATAAGCATGATAACAAACGTATTTACTAGCTGTATTTTGTCTCCAAAAACACGTTTGTGTCACAAAGCAACATTCTTTAACCAAAAGCTACCACTTAAACGATATTGCATAATCAGGAAATTGTTTCTTTTGGGGTTGGGTCTTCTTGCTTTATAACTAAAAAAAAAAAGAGAGGTTAGAATGTGGTATGAGCTTTGGGATTGTTTGTGTTCATAGTATGATACATGTTTTTATGTGCATAGCCATATTTTCTTGAGCCTAAAGATCTAGATTTGAATCTGCCTAGTCTTATCTAACTCTTCCAACATCCAGATGCATTTTTGAGTGTGTCATAGTTGCAGAAATGGTGTAGACTGAGCTCATATGTTTAGTTTATTCAATATTAAACCAGGACAAGTCTGCTTGCTTATTTTTGCTTAATCAAAATAATGAGTCGAAGTAGAATGGCAAGCAAAGCAGAAGACGTAAAATGTGAAACAAATTAAAGTCCATGACCTTCCATGCCCTGCTGCCTTTGAAAGCAGACTAATATCACTCTATAAACAAACTCTGTCTGCATGCAAAGTGTTGCAAAATATCATGTTGGAGTTAATTCTTCAGTGACAGGTTGACACACTGCTCTCACACACGATCCATTTCTCTTTTGCATTACTGTAATAACTAAAACACTTACATAACAAACACTTTTTATATCCACGGTTGCAAAAACTGTAGAGTGCTTTAAATGGTTTGCTAATTTTCTACCCCTCCAACTTTATTTGGACTTTTGTCGTGTTTCACAAAATCTAGTGCATTTCACTGCGATTTTATGACTAACGTAAATTAGTGCATAATTGTAAAGTTGAGAGAAGTTACACAATATTTCACTATCTTTTCAGGCCTAAAACTCCAAGAAGTTTGTGCTGCATTTTTGTTCAGCCCCTCTTCATTCTAATACCCTGTAGTAAAATCCAGTAGAAGTAACTGCCATCAGAAAGCCACATGCATAGCATTTAATCTCAGAGTAACATTTGTTTTGTGAAAGTCTCAGATGTTTCTTAGAGAACATTATTGAACAAACAGCCTCATCTATACGTAGGAGGAGGCTAAATGTTAAAACTAAAAGATAAAACAAAAATCTTCCAGTTATTAGAATTTAAAGATTTTTATTTTTTATTTTTATCAAGAGCGAAGTCTCCTGCTTCCAGCAGTTTGATGGGTTCCTCCCCCTCCTGGTGTTGCAACCAGGTGTGTAAAGGGGCAGCATTAAATATTTTGTAACACAATCAAGTGACTATGTTACCTTCACTTGTTTTAAAATTGCTATAGGTATCAAATACGACTAAAAGAAAAAGAAATTTGCAACAGTTCTTAGAGGTGTTGGACAGAGTAGTTTGCATTAGAAGCTCATCAGACTCGCAGGTCCACCAGGTGTTTGCTAATTGCTGCTAACGCTAGTCTGGGGGAGCTGAGTGAGGGACATGTGGGGGAAAGGGAGCTCACACCATAATGGTTCCCACAACAGAGTAAATGATTTCTCAAATATGCATGAAAGAGTAAAAGCAACAATCTATGTATGTTTTTAATGAAACATACATAGTGGCATGAGCCCTCCCACCTTCCGCCCAGTTGTGACATCCCACCCACCCCTCCGCTCTTACAACCGCAGAATCTGAATGTGTGAACAAATATGTTATTGCTTATTTCAAACACGTTTGCTTTGCTACATCACTTTGAAATATTTCACAAAACAGTTTTTATGAAAATCTATTACTTTAGTTGAATTTTGCATCGCTACAGTTTGGACAAATTTGTGTTTATCCAAAGACATGACATTAAAAAATAATCTAATGTCCAAATATACTCCACGTCTTACTGTTTTTGTCTTGCAAAACATCACAAAAACTATCCGTAATATTCCACTTCATAGGGATACATTATTGAGTGTTTGTTTTCTTTTATTATCTATGGATATTTATAAGCATTTTTTTGTTTTAATATAGATTTTATAAGTTGGGATAAAAGGAGCAGTAGGTTCTATTTTACATCAAAGCATTTTAATGTCACAGCATGTCAACAGGTTTAGTTATGAATACGCTCTTCCACTTGAGTAGGAATTATGTTTTTCTTTTTTTTCTTTTTTTTCGTTTCAGTCGTGGTCATTGCACCAATTCCTTCAACATGAGGGTGTTTTCCTGTCAGTAAAACAGTGATTAATGTGTGCTTCCCTGTATGGGGGGGCGAAGTTGGATGGTACAACATCTTCATGGTTCATTTGCCCTCTCTGACTCATTCATCCACAACTGGGAAAAGAACTAAACAACGCACTCCTTTGTTGTCGCACAAAACACAGTTTTATACACAAGAGTTGTGAACATTAAGCTCAAAGACATATAACTGAAGTGTTAAAATACTAAAAAACAACATTTTAGATGCAGAAACAAATCACACAGACAACAACAAAAAAAAAAGATTTGGTCCTTACTGATTAAATATTTTATAAGGAACAAAACCCCTTCAACACCAACATGTGTTAATGTTGGTGTTTCGTGAAGTTTTAATGATCATTAACTATGCCCCATGAGGAAAATCAACAACTAAATTTGTGAAAGATGTGCACTAGATGTCATTCATAAAGACAAGATTTTTACTCCCAAATAGGTTTAGAAATCGTACTCAGGTGGATTATGGAGGATTGAAGAAGCTGCTGCAGTGAGAACATAAAATCCCCATGTGGAAATGCAAACTATATGCTGGGAATAAACTTCAGAAACTGTTACATGTTGAGACAACATGATTCTTTTTTCTTCTCATATATTTTGAGGTAGGCAATATGTTGGCAGTTCTTAGCACTGTTGAATTGCATCAAAAAAAAAAAATCCTAGGTTTGAATTGGGTCTTTCTAAATGGAGTTTGTATGTTCTTCCCTTGAGTGGGTTCTCTCCAGGTACTCTGGCTTCCTCTCACGGTTAACAATTTGCTGTCGGAGCAGAGCTGGTCTGAGGTTTGTTTTTTGTATTCATTTATGATGGACTGGTGACTTGTACAGACTGTAATCCGCTTCTCGTCCAATGACCGCTAGAGGCACCAGAGACCCATTACTGGTTTAAAACTCAGCAAACTCTTCATAAAGTTTATTTGTACAATCCCAAAACAAATAAAACGTGTATCACAAGCGTTTTGTTTGGTTTTCTCTTTAAGGAAATAGGAAAAATTAAATATTCAAATGTACAGTATAAAATAGCGGAGAATCGGAACATTTCTTTATGGTGGAATAAAGGATTTTTGGACCGTCTCTGGAATCAATTCACCAAGGGTTTGATGAAATGAAAGTGGGTGAAGTTTTTCTGCTCTCCCAAATTTAGGAGAGTTACTTCTACAGCAAAAATGAAAAAAAAAAAAATAATGCATCATTATTTCCGTTTTCTGACCACCAGTATGAGCTGTGCGCAACTCAAATAATTTCAAAATTAAATCTTGGAGATCTTAAAGAAAGTGTCTAACTTTGAAAAACGCACCTAAAATATTTTTCTGCATTTTGTTTATTTCCATAATGTCTTTCAAATGTTCACTTTCTGTTTTGTTTTTTTTGTTTGTTTGTTTGTTTTTGTTTTTTTTGTTTTGTTTTTTTTATTTTAATTAAGTTCCATTTAAAATTGATTTTTTTGCAGAAGGGCGTAAAAAAGATTTTCTACAAAGGTTCACATGTGAACTTTGCATGACACACAAACATTAGAACGTTCCTCCATATAACCTGTCAGTGCTGTAGGGCTGGTAGCATTGGTGTAGGTAGGGCTGCTGGTACTGATAGCCGTGGTACAGTGGCACAGTGGCGGGAAGATGGGCTCCACTGCCCGGAATCCACTGCTTTTGGTCGTTTCTCACCAGCACTTTAACCGCCACGGTCTTTGGTGAGCCGAGCGTCGCCAGGTCAGTGGCCAGCTGGCGCCGTTTCGTTTTGTATCTCCGGTTCTGGAACCAGATTTTCACCTGTGTCTCCGTGAGTTTCAAGGCGCATGCCAGGTCTGCCCGCTCGGGACCAGAGAGGTACCTCTGGGCGCTGAAGCGGCGCTCCAGCTCGTGGACCTGCTCGTGGGAGAAAGCCGCTCTGGAGCGCTTCTTCGCGGCGGCGCAGTGGCGCTCCTCGGGGGAACAGCTGGATGTCTCCCCGCCGTGGTGGTAGTGATGGTGAAAGCCCTTCATTCCTGCTTCCGCCTGGTTCCTTTGCCGCTTGTTCTGCTCCACATACTGCATGCCTGCACGCTCTGCGGTACCTGACAACAATAACAAGTCAATTATTAAAGTTTTTTTTTTTCCCTTATTAAGCTGAATAAAGCCAGTATATGACACTATGTGAAACTGAAAATCAATGAAGAAAACTAATCTTAAATGCCATTTACACCATCACAACCAGACGGCTTCCGAACGGTTTTCCATCATGTCAAGACATTTAAAAGCAACACAACCTACTCTAAAAATGATAATAATAACAAAATAAATAAATAAATAAATTATATTAAGCTTAAAATGACTTGTCAATTTTTTTTTGTTTTAAAATATTCTCCAGTGACATTTGATATTTAAGATAAGCTGAAAAAAATTGGCTCCTTTAATTTTTAAGGTCAGATATTTAGCCGAAGCAATTGCACAAACCTGCCCCTCTAATAAGACAAATACAAAGTGTATTTTCCATTCCCCACCTCTTTTTGAATTTTGTTTTTATTTTAGTCATTTTTCAGACATGAATTAGGTGCAACGCCACAGTTTAAAAAGATAAAATAGTCAAATTTAAATAAATTATAAATGAAAACCTTACATTCTCTGAACTGAGTCGCAGCCCTTCCTTCGTTCCTGCCGGTGCCGGATCGGTGACTTTCAGATACGCGTTTGCCAGGAGAAAGTCTTTTCTGAATGGCGCTATCAAAGCCCGCGCGCAAATTGCGCGCAAGTGCGCAAAGCTCCTCTGCAGCTGTGCTGCCGGGATTCCCACAGGGAGCCTCCAGGCCGGTGAGAATGTCTTTGATTAAGAAGGTTGAAAACTTCGATGTCATGATGCACTGGAAGACCACAAGTAACTGTGTCCAAACTCTACACTGCAGCTCATGGAGGCATCAAGTCATGAGCAGCTCCAAAGTAAGCCTCTCGATCAGCTGTCTCCCTATTGCTTTCATTTATTTGCCGTCAAACGAGTCCAGTCCCTTAATGAGAAGTCTGTGCAAGAAACTGCCACGAGTTTAACTGTCCTCGATAAGAGCTTAAGTGAAAACGCGATAGGTTTTCTCCTCCTGCCCCGTCATTAGCGCCGCCCCGTTACAACCTTGGTGCAGCTTGCACAGAAGAAAAGCGATTCTGCATCTGAGAAATTATAAAAGCGACTTCAGTTCTGTTTAGCTGTATCTTACTGATTCAGTTTAAATGCAAGTATATCAAAAGTCTCTTCACAAAGTTTTTGCTCATAAAATTCAATGAGCAAAAATGCCCATTTCATCTACCCGAAAATCTCAAAATGATGTAATGAAAAAATATGTAAATGAAATAAACTGAAGCGGACCCTCAACAAAGACAAAACACACTATACACACTATTCTTGTGAAACAGAGTATATAGCTTTATTTGTGTGCTAAATATAAATAAAATTTCTCAATAAATGTAGTGCATAAAATGAATTAAGCGTTTGTAAATAGGCGCCCCATCCATTAACGTACCTCTTTAAATAACCTGACATAAACCTGATTTTTGAAACTATTTATTTTTGTTTGTCAATAAAAACGAGACATCCATTAAGCTCAAATGAGCGATTGTAGCGCCGCCATGTGGGGAAGATTCTTGGCTTCCAAGCTAAGTGCAAATAAAAATAAGTGATAACAGCCCCCACCCAAATGGACAGATAGGCTATTACACAATCAGCAAGCCTAGCTCCAAGTTAAGGAGATGTGATGACAGATGCAGAGATTTGTCTACTCCATGGGTCTTTGTGTTCTTCCTCTGACTAACCAGATAAATCTCTCTGCTTTCCACAGAACCAGATCTGGTCAGGGTGTCACAACACGTCTGAGGGAAAATATGGATTTTTTATTTTTATTTTCTATTTTTATTTATTTATTTATTTAGTGCACTATCGTAATTTCAATCCTTGCAAGTTAATTAAGCAAAGCTGGTTAAACAGTTAGCCAACTTTACT